TCTACCATAATCCATTTAGTTCAGAAAAATATTGAGAAATAGTCATCTCTCCTTATTTTGTGCAATGAACTTTATTCCGGAATTCATAAATCTGGGCGTCATTATCCATCTGTGAATATGTAAGAGATGCTGTATTGCATATTTTTTCGACAGTGTATGTTCTGACAATATACGGTTGCATAGAATTTTTGAGTCATAACATTACCTATGAGCTCTCAGAGTCCCACCTATTATATTTTAAACTACTAACATCTGGTTTTTTTACCTCACCAGTAATATAACCCTGCAATCTTCTAGATTTGATAAATAATAAATAAGATCTCGACCAAATAAGATAATTAGTTTCATCAAGTTTTACGAAACTGATTTGTAATAAATGATTATCAAAGGTAGTAATACTCACTTTTTTTGCTTCTGTCATTTTAGAATGTTAAAAATAAGAAGAAAAAAATACCTAATAATAAAAAATGGACCTCCTATCTACACCAAGGAGCCAAAAAAACGAAATCAGATCAGGTTCGGCTCTAAACGGCTCAGACTTGACTCTAAAACGGTTTAAACTCGGCTCTAAAACGGCTCAAAGTCTGGTTGACTCGTCTTCTTCAGACAGATCTCTGAACGTGCGCAGAAAATGGTAATGGTGTGGCATTTTTTTACCTGCATCTATTGATGTGCGGCTATAATTTTTTACTAGCATTTCTGGATGTGCGGCTTAAATTTTTACCAGCGACTCCGAATGTGCGGCTGCACCTTTTTACTGGCGCTTGAGGATGTGCGACTACAACTTTTTACCAGCGCTTATGGTTGTGTAGTTGTATATTATTACCGGCGCTTTCAGAGGTACAGCTGCACTTTTTACTGATGCCTACAAATGTGCAGCTTCAATTTTTACCGACACATGCGAAGGTACAGCTTCAGTTTTTACCGTCGTCTGCGAATGTGCAGCTTCAGTTTTTACTAGCGGTCTGATACCATGAAGATTTTTAGAGAAAATAAATTTCTAATTTTTTACTCCTAGTTTTGTTTACATTTAGAAGATATATATAAACTAGTTATCCTTATTCTATTTGAACTCTAATTATATGATATAATTATACTATTAGAAGTTTAAATAATGTAGTATTCTACTTAATATAAAATCCTTATCATCACAACCTTAGTCAATCTGTTAGCCAGTACTTTAAAGAGGAGTTTGTAGATATATCCAACCAAACTGATAGGACAAAATCCTTGATATTAGAAACATTTTTCTTCTTTGGGATCAGAATCATAAAGGTGGAATTAATAGATTTGACAAATGAAACATTTTTATAAAAATTATTGAAGAAATCCATGATATCATTTCTAACAACACCCCAAAATACTTGGAGGAATTTCATATTAAACCCATCGGGACGTGGGCCTTTGTCACCATCACAATTTTTAAGGCAATTAAATACCTTATCTTCAATAAACGATATCACAATTTTTCTGGTTTTATGAAAAGAGGGGTTTTCGAATGTGAGGAGATAGTTTTGAGAGAATGCTCTATTTCATGCTTGTTTGAAAATTGTAGAAATTGATAGAAATGCGTATTCACTGGTGTCTACAATAAACTAAGGAAGCGTGAAAGGTTTGCTGTGGAAGGACTGGTAGGAATACAAACAAAAATATGATTTTTCATAAGATGTGGGAGGGGATTTCAATATAGTCTTGAACATACATGAAAGGTCCGAAGAGCACTTCTCAAGGGTTTTTGCTGAAGAATTTAAGGAGACTTTTGGCATAATTAAATTACTTGATTTACCCTTGTGGGAGGTTAATGGTTTTTGCAAGTAGAGATTCAACTCGGCTTGTTCAAGAATTGACAGGTTTTTGGTGTTGGTTTCCTGCCAGCTACAACTAATGTGTTTATGCCAAAAATTTCTGTAACGGACCATCTCTGATCATTTTCTTATTTACCTTGTGTTATATGGGATCAAGTGGGGTCTTTGCATTTAGTTTCGAAGATAAATGGTCGAAAGTTAATGGTTTTTGCGATAAGATTAGTGAATGCGGAGAGAGGCAACATTGAATAGTATGCTCAACTTCAGAGAAACTCAAAAGATGTAGTAAAGACTAAAATTAAAAATTGGAGCAAGGAGGAGGGGAGGGGTGAGAGAATGTAAACCCAATCTGACTACAAGATATTGAGGTTGTTGATATGATGAAGGGGGAAAGTATTCTCTTCACTGAAGAATTGGCTAGTAGAGAATCTATAAAGCTTGAATTGACCCTTTTATTTTTTTTAAAAAAAGCTTGAATTGGAAAATTAATTACAAATGGAAGAGGTATCATGGAGACAAAAATCAAGAGGCAGGTGGATAAAGGATGGGAATAGAAACACAAAATTTTGCCATAGAATGACAAATCATCATAAAGAGATTAACTATATGGAGGGGATGGAGATAGATGACTGGATAGTAGAGGGTAATGAGTAGCTTAGACAAAGGGTTGTGAAATTCTTGTATAGATTATAACGTGAAGAGTTTAGTTGGAGGCCCAAATTGGATGGTTTCACTTTCATGTCATTAGATGAGTTAAGTCGAAAATCACTTAAAAGAGACTTCATTGAGGAGGAGATCCTTGAGGGACACATGCACTATAAAAGAGCTAAAGCCCCTGGTTCCGATGGTTTCAACATGCGTTTTCCATAAAAAAAAATTTGACATTTAATGAAAGGGTATATTCTTGATTTTTTTAAGGAATTGCATGAATCTGAATCGTTTGTTAAACCCTTAAATTCTTCTTTCTTGGTTCTTATTTGTAAGATGGAGGAGTCGACAAATATTAAGGACTTCAGACCTATCAGATTTTTTGGGAGCGTCTGTAACCACATTGCGAAAGTATGGACTAAAAGGACTACCAAGGCGCAGATAAAGTGGTAGACGAGTGTCAACAAACTTTTGTGGAAGGAAAACGAATTTAGGATGCGGCTCTTGTGGTTAATGAGTTGTAGATGAGTTAATATTAAAAAATATAGAGGATGTCCTATGCAAGTTGGATATGAAGAAAGCATACGATCATGTAAATTAAAGATTTCTTAATTATATACTAAGGAGATTGGGTTTTAGGACAAATATAACTTTTTTTACAGTCATGGTGAATGGGGGTCCATATTCTTTTCTCAAGGCCTCCAGAGATCTTAGAAAAAGTGATCCATTATTTCCTCTACTTTTTATTATTCTTATGAAAGTTTTGAACAAAAAGTTGCTAAGAGGCACAAAACTGGAGTTCTTCAAAGGTTTAAAGGTGGGTGAGGGTAAGCATACGGAAAAGGTAGCTCACTTTTTTATGAGACTTTAGTATTTTGTGAACCGAACGAGAGGGTAATGCTTAACCTCATATGCAATTTAGTGAGTTTTCAAGTGGTTTTTCGCTTAACCTCATATGCAATTTACTGAGTTTTCAAGTGGTTTTTCGTGTCAATATTAACTTAACCAAATTTGAGTTGGTGAAAGTGGGTGATGGGAGGGATGCTCCTAGATTGGTGAGAGTCAGTGGGTGTAAAAATGTGAAGTTGCGGATTAAGTACTTTGTATTACTTTTTAGGGAAAAATATAAAGATGTGAGATGTAGGATGTGTGGGGCGAGGTTTGGGAGAAGGTTGGCAAGGTGGAAGAGAAACCTTCTTTCCCAAACTGAAGAGACTCACACTCATTAAAAGTACGTTCGCCAACTTTCCCATTTATTATATGTCCCTTTTGATAATCCTGGTAAGTGTTGTCAAGAACACTTTGAGGATAGGAAAAGATATTACTTGGTGGTTGTGGGATGAGATCAAAAAGTCAATGTCTTGGGGAGATTTGGGGTTGAGATCTTTAATAGAAATTAATTTGGCTTTACAGAATAAATGGCTATGGAGATTCATGAAAGAAAACAGTATTCTATAGTGGAGGATGATAATGGTGAAGTTCGCTACCGTGGATAGATGGTGGTACTCTAGAATATTGACTTGACTGCGTGGGACGAAGATGTAGAAAAAAATGCATGAGTAGGAATAAATTCCAGAATTGCATTAGGTGGAAGGTTGTCCTGGGAATAGAATCAACTTTTGGCAAGACGCTTGATTTAGAGAGGGATCGCTTAGAGATTAGTTTGCCTGGATCTATATTATTGCACAACAAATTCTTTCAAAAAGAAATGTTGTTGCACAACAAAAGAGTATTACGGTTTTTGAGCCATTTAGAGATAATGGGGGGAAGGGAGTGACATGTGGAAGTTATGAGAAACCTCAATGATTGGCGAATTAATGATTATGAGACTCCTCATTACACTTTCCTCTGTGTCATTTAATGAGAGTAGTTATGACCAACTAATATGGAATCCCAATACCAAATGGTCTTTCTATAATCATTTGATTAAGAATGACCCAACAGAGACTAGTTTTCCTTTTCGGCAAATCTGAAAGGTTAATGTTCCACATGAAGTTGCTTTCTTAGCGTGTGAATCAAGTTGTGGGCGTATCCTTTCTATTAACAAGCTGATGAAGTACAGAAAGATTTTGGTGAATGGTTGTTTTCAATGCAAGAGGAGGCATAGTCTTGTAATCACATCACATCCTTATTTGGTGTCCGCTTTTATGTAATTTATAGACTATGACTTACAGGGTACTGTGGATCAGTTGGATGATGGCTGATTCAATCAGATAAGAGATTTGAGGCTGAAGAGGTATTAATGGAGGAAAGAAACGTGTGAATATCATTTTCCTTACTATCTTTTGGGTGGCGTGAAAAGAGAAGAATAGGAAAGCTTTTGATGGAGTGAAAAATGAGTTTGATAGAGTTAGAGATAGATGGTTCCAAACCCTTGGTTTTTTAGTTATGTGTTATCATCTTTATACAATAGAGTATTTTGGGAATTTTATTAATATTTTAATTAATATGTAAATATTTTTTTGTACATGGGTTGGCACCCCTTGGTGCTTGTGAATTAATAAATTTTCTTTTTATTTCAAAAAACATCTACCTTCTTTTACCCAGTTGCAAATGAGAACGGGACCCTTCGCAAGCAAGATCTTTCTGCTGCTGGGCAGAAGAAAACTCAAACCAACATACGGATACTTAGGGGCCACAGTGGTGCAGTCACTGCTTTGCACTGTGTAACAAGGAGAGAGGTCTGGGATCTGGTGGGTGACCGTGAAGATGCTGGTTTCTTTATCAGTGGAAGCACAGATTGCTTGGTAAGTGTAGATCATTATATTCTTCTACTGGATATTTCTTTTGCTAATGAATCCTTGGAGATTTGGCTGGAATTCATGGTATTCATTTTTCAGAAGAAAAAGAGCCTGTGATGCTATGTATTTGTTTTTCTTTGAGAAGAGAAGGGCTCATAAAATACATTCCTTTATCTACACCTTCCAGGGATTGGATGCAGTTTCATGCTGATACAGCTTGTTTTGCTTCTGATTTGTTTATATTATTTTGTTCTTCCTTCTGAAGGAGGCCTTTTCTTCTATTGGATTGTATTTCCTCTTATTTATCTAGTAATATTCTTATTCTATGACAAAATCAGAACAATTTCAATGTAGGTTAATTTTCTTGATCTCACTGCTGTATGTTATTTTGTGTGTTCATTGTGCAGGTTAAGATTTGGGACCCTAGCATCCGTGGTTCTGAACTTCGAGCAACTCTGAAAGGACATACAAGGTCGTCCCCCCCGCCCCCCCATCAATTCATTTTTTCCTTAATTCTTTTAGAGAATAAAACATATTTTTAGCCATGTGCTCTTAGTGCTGTTCCTTGTCTATAACCATTTTCTTTCTTTGATAGGGAAAGAGAATGTTATTAAGAATGGAAGAGACTACAAGGAATGAGGATAAAATACACTCTAAAAAGAGAAACAAAAGACGGAAATAGAACAAAATAGGGACGGGTTTGACCTTAACATAAGATGTCCCAATACCTTTGCAGAATAGATAATGGTAGTCCCTGAAAACAACCATGCGCCTTCACTGTTAAAGAGGCCATGCAAAGCATTCTGTCACCAATAAGGTGTTCATGGTTAATGCAATCTGTAAAATTTCTAGCAGTATGTTTCAGCCATATAACACAAATCTAACAAAGAGATACCCGTTCCACAAAATTCTATGCTCTTTATTCTCCAAAACACCCTGCATATAGGCAGAAAAGAAGTTCCATTCCCAAGTGAATCCAACCTGAAACTTCTTGTCCCATTCATACAGTTCTTACTATATCCTTGCTCATGACTGCAACTTTAGTTTCTTGCAAACAAATTAAACTGCCAGTCGCACTCCTTGAAGAAAGCCTTAATCACTGCCCTTCTATTTTTAGCGTCCAAACCCACACATTCCAAAGTATAGATCTATCAGTAATTGGTGGTTGATATTAACTTAATGAGGTTAAAAATGATTTACAAGAGTAAGAATCTAAAGATTCTGGAGACCAAGTTCTTCCTTAAAATTAGGTGAAGGATGAAAGAGCCCAAGCAATTTTATTAAGGTCAAGCAACCAAAAGTGTTTTTTTTTTGTAGCAAAAATGAAAGTTGTAGGTCAAATGAGAATCTTGTCGAATAAAATAGGAGGCAACAGGATAATTACACATGAGGAGAGCCTATAGGGCAGTAAAATTGAGAGAGAACTCTCTCAATCAAGTATCCTCCTTAAATAAGAAACATGATCCGTATCCCATTCTTAAAGGAATCCTGGATGGAAGGAAGGGGTATACACAAGAGAGATATCGCGGTGGGCTTTGATGATTCATGTTTTGCCTCTCTTTCCATGGGCTTTTGAGAGTCATAATTGCTTCTTATCACCCTATGCCACAATGCTAACAGTTCAAGACTAGAATGTCATATCTATTTGCCACATAAATGATATTGTTGGAGACCAATTCCTCTAGACCCAACCTTCACCATCTTTAGCTTTGCAACTGATATTTCGATTCACCTCTTGATCTTTTACCTCCCTATTGGCATCAGCCCAGAAAAAAGTCCCTCAATTTTCTCAATTTTGTTTTCATTCCAACGGGAATCCAAAAAGGAGAAAGGTAATGAAGGGGTTTTACTTGACAGATAGGCTTTAATTAGGGTTATGCTACCTTAAAGAAGGAAATTGCCTTTCAAATTGTCAAACCTCCTGGAAATCTTGTGAATCATCAAATCTGAAAAAGTTCTTGCTCTAGGATTAATCCCTGATGGATCCCCAAGAAACAAATATGCTAACTTAAGGATGCACAACAGTTAATCGCCAACTAAGAACTTCATCATCAGCATCAATTCTCCAACACAATATTACTTAGTTGATCCAGTGGTTGGAATTAACCTGAAAAGCTGAAACAAGAAGATTGCATTAAACAAATTAGCTGTTTACTGCAAGAAAAAGGATAATGTCATTGGCGACTTGCAAATGAGAGACTTTTACCTCCACACTATAAGACTTTTATGAACCCTCTCTTGATCCCATGTGTAAATAAGAAAGGAGATAAAAATCTCCTTTTCTAATTCCTTGCTATCTTTAAACAAGGATCTAGGTTTGCCATTGTTGCCCGGCAAACAAGTCATTATAGAAAGACAACCCTTGATCCAGATTCTCCGTCTACGACAATGGCCTCTTCTATTAACTACCTTATGCAGAAAACCCATTCGGCTTTTTCATAGGCTTTCTGATCCAATATAAACACCAAATGTTTCTGCATATACCTTCTTAAACGTTCCACAACTTCATTAACAAGAAGGGATACATCAAGGGTTTGCCTTCTAGAAGCCAAAGCATATTGACAACAAAGGATGCATCAAGAATTCACCTTCCAGAAGCAAAGGTATTATGGGTAGTGGTGATAGTTTGTCAAGGATCCTGCTCAATCGCTCCTCATAAAGAACCTTAGTGATAATCTTGTAAGTATAAGTTCCCAGGCTAATAGCCTACTGTCAATAGCCTTAGTTGATTAACCTTTCTTTGGAACAAGGGTAATGACACTAGAGTTCATACTAACAACAATTTTAAGGATCTTACAAGTATTTCCTTAAACCATATCTCTACAGCTTTATAAGGTATCAACTAATAATCGTTGGGGTCTAGAGCTTTGTCCTTAGCTAAATCCTGCTCTTTTAAATCTCCTTAATGGTCTTTGCAACCATCTTGCTTTTGTTTTCTCAATAGGACACCAATCTAAACCCTTGATAGACATCCATTCCTGACTATTGTCATTATTGCCATAGATTTATTATCTTATTCTGGTAACTTTATCTCACTTTGTTTCTTGGCTTTCATGCAGAACTATACGTGCCATTAGTTCTGATAGAGGAAAGGTGGTATCAGGATCTGATGATCAGTCTGTCATTGTATGGGACAAGCAAACATCTCAGCTTCTAGAAGAGTTGAAGGGCCACGATCCACAGGTTTGTTTACTCGGCATGTTATTTTTTTAACCTGTTTTGTTTTGCCTACACAGCCTGTATAATGGGAAAGGTGTATACCAAAGATAAATTGACAAATAAGCCAAAAGTCTGCATATTAGGATCACTAAGAATGTATGTATATGGTCTTCCCACCTAAAATAGAGAAAGCAACACTCGAAGAATTCTTCTCTCTTTTTATTTATACTTTTTTCTATGTGGATGAGGAATGGTTGGACTTAGAGCTATTATTAGCTTCAGGAAAATGAATAAGAAATAGAAAACAAACTTGTTCCTGGTCCTTTCGAATTAATTCGCTACACCCCTGGTAGTTGATAGGGGTATGCCTGTATTAAAGATTTCTTAAAAGTAATTAGCTTATAGGAAAGAAGAGCTAAGTGTTCAACTCTGAAGATTTTGTGGAAAATGATATTTTTGTAATTCCATTTCCATGGGAAGGACCCAATCATAGAGGTTAATTTCATCTCCATCCACCTCAGAAATATGGATGGGATGAACAAATGGTCGGATGGGTCATTGTAATGGGTAATGAAGGATTCTCTGCATGCTCGGTGACCCAATCATAGAGATTTTTACAGCTTCTCTCCAGCACTCGAGGATTGATAATCCTGCTGCAACTAAAGGAAGCTTAGGAAGAATAGACTGGAAAGGGATAATTTAGGATTCTCTCCAAATACTAAAATTTCCTCTTATGTTCAAGTTTTGAAGAAAGACGTTTTTTAAAAGAGTTTGTCTACCACAGTGGCTGGCACATAACTCAATCGGTGCCCATACAGGGCCCCCCCCAAGGGGTTCTCAACTTCAAGGCCATCGACCTTCCTTATTGTTCTTGGTATTAGAAAAAAAAAAGTATATATGTATTGTAAAGAGAAAAGCTGTAAATATATATCCCGGTTATGCATTGCTGGAGTCTCCCACCTCCCCTTTATGTCAATTACCGTGCCACACTTTCCTTGTACTTTCTTGCATTTGAAATATGAAGTAAAGCTTTCAACAGCAAATCTCAAGCTCAACACCTTTGCTTTACATTAATTGAGTTAGATTTTTTTTTTTCTTTCACATACAGCAATTGGAGATCTTACAGTGTCATAAATGGTGCCAGAGATGGCCTTGGGTCATTATCATGTTGGTGGTTCTAGTACGTGGTAATATTTCCCATACAACCTCTATTTTGAGCTGATAACATAGAAACCAGGTTGAGCAGGGGAGATTATTATAATCTGCATTCCAATATGAAGCTTCTTCACACTGTAAATTATTCCCTAAGAACCTAAAGTGATCATGACATGTATGTTATGTCACTTTGGAGTGTTCTTATTTGGGATAAGTTACATAGAATTCCTTAAGTTTTGAGTATACTTACAACTGAATCCACAATTTAAAGACCAGTGTATAAAAAATTATATGTCAATTAATTTTCAATTTTTAGTAGAAGTTAAAAATAGTTAATATGTGTTACATGACAATCATGTGACTGAGACAATAAAAAAGATAACAACACAAGAAGTGATAGTTGTCCGGAAAAGCACAAAAGAAGTTATGGTTTACCTAATATGGTTTTACTACTGTTTCTTCTGAAAAAAAGGTAAAAGGAAACAGAAACAAAAGAGTACCAACATAGAGTGTCCATAATCTAGCTTCTTTCTTGATTTTTTTGCAACAGTAAAATGCTGAAAGCACTAAATCTTTATCTTTTAAAAATTGTAGACTCACTTATAATTATACCAAAATCTTAATTACCTGTGTAATTTACCTTTTTATTTATTTTTTACATTTTCTTTTCTTGGGGCGGGAGAGAAAGGGAAGGTGGTTGGAGAAACATGGTTCCAAGTAGAACTTACTTTATTTCTTTAAATCAATCTTTTACTGCTCTCTAAGAAGAGAGAATCAATATTTTGCTGGTCTGTTAAAGCAAAGAACACAGGTACCTGCACAGGAGGCAAATATTTGAGTGTGACTTACAAAAGAAACCTAAAATTTTGAGTTTTCTCTGCATGTCAAGTGTTGTGCTATTGTTCCTAAAATCTTTGGGTAAAATTAAGAAGGTTTTTCCTCTTACCATCCATGGGATTAAAAATTTTTTCTGTCATTTTCTTTCCTCCCCTAGATGTGTCGTGAACTAACTTCTGCAACACACAAATTAAACTAAAAGTTGAGAAGAAAGAGGGAACATAGAGAGTTTAACGAGATTCAGCAGTTTGCCTACATCCATGGAGCACCCTATGAAATTTTCAGCATTTGGAACTTCACTTGTACAAGCTAAGATTTTTCCTTTATATAGTCAAAGAACAAACCCAAGTTTAGAAGAATATCCCCATATTACAGCAAATGCTGCACACTCAAAAATACCATATCTTACCTTCACAAGAACCAATTTATGAACAGTTAAGTCTTTGAATGTGAGCCACAACTCAACAAAAAATAAGTTGCGGGGCCTTGTATCACTTTGATAGACTTAATATGAACTATATTAGTTACTTCTCCTTCTTGATAATTTTAAGAAGTATTTTAGTTATTTTTCCTTTACCCTTTCTGTTCCCGTCCTTTAGTAACTCTTTATGTCTTCTCGTGTGAAAGCTTTCGGTTCTTAAGCATAATCTTTAAAATTTGTCTTTGGACTGTAATTAGTCAAAGCAATATGAAGATGAGTAGCGAAGATGATTTCTCTAGTTGATAAAGATGTTTTAGCACCTGTTATTCGATATTGTAGATCAGCTGTGTCCGGATGCTGTCTGGCGAGCGTGTTCTTACTGCTGCCCATGATGGAACTGTGAAGATGTGGGATGTTCGAACAGATACTTGTGTTGCAACAGTTGGTCGGTGCTCTAGTGCAGTCTTATGCATGGAGTATGATGATTCCTCTGGAATCCTGGCTGCTGCTGGCAGAGATGCGTAAGTATATCAAAGCTTGAAAGGGTGCTTTCTTCTATAGGTTATAAATTTACTTATCTAACTAAACATTTTAAAACCAACCTTGTAATTATTTGCATTATCAGGGTCGCAAACATCTGGGACATTCGTGCAGGCAGGCAGATGCACAAGCTCTTAGGACATACTAAATGGATTCGGTGAGTTAAATGAACCATAAATATTCGTTCCTTCTCTTTTATGGGAGGATAAATGTTTCCAGTTGCAGACATGAAGAAGCCATATATTCATGGGTCCACAATAATGCAGGTCAATTAGAATGGTTGGAGACACTGTGATTACTGGTAGTGATGATTGGACAGCAAGAATGTGGTCTGTTTCCCAAGGAACTTGCGATGCTGTTCTTGCCTGCCATGCGGGTCCTGTATTATCCGTAGAATATTCCATATTAGACAGAGGAATAATAACAGGTTGGCTCCTTAACCAGTAATTTATTTGATTTGGTATTCATATTCCCATTTATTACTTCCTCAACCTCTCTGGACGGGAGTGATTTTACCAATAGGGCAAACCTGGGCAATAATAATAACATTGTGAAATGTGATATCCCTTTCAGGATCAACTGATGGGTTGCTTCGGTTCTGGGAGAATGAGGAAGGTAGTGGAAATGCTCTTCTGGCTTCTGTGATGCGAAGTTTTATTTCTTGGTGGTTGAACTTTGGATTCCTATTTCCTTCTAAAAAAATAAAGAACTTTATTGAAGAAAAAGAGACTACACTAAAGATGAGAGGATAAGGTATCCTCCAACCGAAAAAAGAGAAGCGAGATATATAAAAGTGGAAGTAAAAGGCCGTGAAATAAAAAAGAGATTCAAGCCTTAAGATTGTACATTAGCAATCCTTGTTAAACTTTTTTTTCCTTTCTGTAAAACAACAGTTGTATTATCGACAATGATTTATTGCCTATAAATTGTCACTATGCATAAGCAGTGTAGACTGGCTCTTTATGGAAGAGCTTTCTAGTTTAGGACCCACATGAAATAAGAAAGTAGCAATTTTTTGGTACAAAGGCTTTTAGATGCATTATAGAAGGAAAAATGTCTCATATTGAGGTATCAAGAATGCCTCTGGTGCTTTCGTTTTAATGAGCATGTTTAGTTACATAAATCAGGAAAGCTCGGGGATGAAGTTCCAGTCACCATGTGGGTCTCCTGAGACCCAGCAATTTAATAGTGAAGGAGGCATTTGGCTGGAGCCTCAACAGAGTTTCTAATGATGTGGGGCAGGCTAGGCTTCTAGGACACCCTGCAATTCTAATATTATCTTACTATTTTCAGGATTGTTGTAAAACTTTTGTGTTACCTGGCCTGTAATGAATTTGGCTCACTTAACTGCTATATTAAAAGCAGAAAATTTAAATATCCAAGTAATGTTGAAAACAGCTGTAAATACTTTTGGAGGATACCCTATTGGCATCCTTTCTTTCAGTGTCCTTTTAACATATGATGCAATGAAATGATTTTATTCTAGGTTCCTGTTCTATTTTCTCCTCCAAAGTGTACATACTATTAAGAATTTACCTGTTTTGCATGCAGGAGGAATAAGATGTGTGAAGAACGTTACAATCCCCAGTGCTGCAATATTATCTATAAATGCTGCGGACCACTGGTTAGGAATTGGAGCTGCTGATAATTCAATGTCTCTCTTTCATCGGCCTCAAGAAAGGCCGGGTGGTGTCTCTAGCTCGGGATCAAAAATGGCTGGGTGGCAACTTTACAGGACTCCACAAAGAACAGCTGCTATGGTATATTACTTTTTTTTTCTCAAACTTCTTTCCCCTTCCTTCCCAAAAAGAAAAAAAAAAACCCTAATCTTGTTAATTGATATAATAACTAATGATTTTTCAGCAAGAAAGCCTCACCTTCTTTTAATCAATATACAAATAACTGTCTTGTCATAATTATATGGCTAGTCGTGCCATATGCAGAGGGAAGGGCCGAGGCATATGCTTGCTTTAGTATTTTGTTTTTGCCCTGATTCTTGATTCAGTTCACTAACCTTAAGATTACTCTCTTATTTTCTTCCCCATAATTGAACTTTTACTTTGCTGAATGTAATCATCTTTCAGCATAAGTTGGGATTATATACATATATGTGCCTTTTGTTATCAACTTAGCATCCTTTTTCATGAACTTTTATCTGGTTTCCATTTGAATGCTGTTTATCTATTTCTTTATGTTGTTAATTTTATCCATCCTCCTCAATAATGAATTGAGGCCTCCAGAAAATTCAAGTAAATCATCCTATATAATGGTTGTATCTTGACTCTATATGTATGATTGCTCATAAGGTCTGGCAAATCATGCGATTCTTATTACCCATCATTAGTGTTTCAGAAAATTACCTTTTCATCTCATGTGATTTGATCTTTGTTCAAATTTAAGCCTGTAGTTTTTTGTTGTCATTTAATGCCCTTGGTTTTTTTTTTTTTTTGTCATTTTATGCAATTTAGATATTTATAGAACATCTGCATGTGCATGAGTTTCTAAAAACATGTGCATGGAAGTTCAAAGCAAAATAAATTAAGATTAGGAGGGAAAACCAGACAGTTATAAAGAGGCTTAAAAAATGTTTTTATATAAAACGAGAAGATCCAAATGCAGTTATTTGAACTGTCACAAAAGAAAAGAACTAGAGTTTTGAATTTAAATATGATCCGACCATAAGAGAGCCATACTATAATTTGTCCTCAAATTTCTACCTAGGTCCTTTACAGCATATTCACTCACTTCACGATGGCTATTATTATTGATTAAATTGTTTCTTTCCCCATTGATTCCATTCTATTTTTTGTTATCAGGTAAGATGTATAGCTTCGGACCTTGAAAGGAAAAGGATATGTAGCGGTGGTCGTAATGGAGCTCTTAGACTTTGGGAAGCCACCATCAACATATGAAGTTTTTTATAGCATTTAATGTGTAGTTTTTTAGTTGCTTATGTGCTAAATATGAAAGAGAGTGTGTGTGTGACAGAAATGATAAAAAATTTTGCTCTTTTTTGTTCTTTTTGTTTCTCTCCAGCTTGTATCATTTGTGTAATTTGTATAGTCAGTGATCATTGTATTGAAGCCAATTGTTGAGTTGCTCGCCAGATTTGGCAGTTTCTTCAGTCACGCGATAACAGTGTTTTCTGCTCGTGCAAGAATTTATAGTGTCTTTATGGCTTGAATTCAATATCTACTTCACCGGTTTCTTCAGTCACGCGATAACATTGTTTCTGCTCGTGCAAGAATTTATAGTGTCTTTATGGCTTGAATTCAATATCTACTTCACCACTTCCCCCTGCTTCATTGTTTTGCTCCCAGGAATGACACAACAGGTATTTATATATCTATTTTTGCAATTATTACAAAACTAGCGAATATATTTGGATATTTTGATTGTTGGATTTGCCAGATTTGGCCATTTGTTCAGGCAGCTCATAGTATTATTTCTGCTCATATAAGAATTTGTTGTCTTTATAGCTCGACATAAAAGGTGTTTCTATTCCTATACATTCTACAGTTGTAAAGCTAATGACTACCTTCATATATTCTTAAAAATTTGAGGTTATGTTTGATGTATGAAAATTTTTTTTAGCTTTTAGTTTTATATTCAAATTGTTGAATGTATGTTTATGCATTTGAGATTCATGCACTCTGAAATGGTTGAAAATAGAACAAAAGGTTATTCATTAAAGGGCAGATTATGATTTTTATATCATGCCTTCTTCTTCAAATAATAATGATAAGTATTCTCTTTTATTTGGCCCCATAAAAGTTTTGTTTCTTATTTAGTTTGTTCTTTCGTACGAGGGAAAATATTAATTTGTTTTTGGACAAAAAAATTATTAAAATTTGTATTTTTCTTTTCATTTAGAACACTTAATTTTGATACAAATTGAAAATTCAGCTAGATATTTGATCCAAATATGCATTAGTGTTTTTATTTTTATTTTTTAAATGAACATACCATTTTTTGTCCAGGCAAAAGTATAATTATGTTATAAGCTTTTAAGCTGGAAATTATAGAATTTTACGAACTTATTGAATTCTAAATTTATATGATTTAAATGGGAATACAAAATATATATATATATATAATTTTAAGACTATTTTATGTTCAATTCAACTTTAGTGCATTCCGTAATATGTAGTAATATCAAAATCCATTCTTGTGGATTTATTGAAAATAGAATTAATTTCTTTATATTAAAGAGTTAGATCCATTAATTGAATATAAGAATATAATATACTTGAACCAAACACAAATTAGTTTTTTCAGGATGATCAATATATATATATTTATGACTGAGTGAGTGATATTGCAATGAACTAGAATTTTGATATGTGCAAAGATAACCATTAGATTAGAGTTATGAAATCGAATACTCCAGCCAATTTCTAGAACAAATTAAAACACGATTTTCTTCCGTGACAATTGCAACAAGCAAGTTGTTCCTCATTACACCAAGCGGAAAAAGAATAGAAAACCCAGTAAATCCAAATAAAAAAAGTAGAGATATATATATATATATATAATTAGTATAAGAAATTCTCAAATACCCAAAAACAACACGATGATGCCTTTCAATAATTAGATGGTTTAATTTAATTAACCCATCATTTGTTGGTTCATTGGAGGCACCATCACAACTTGCGGCTGTTGAAGGCTTGGGTTCCTCGCTACATTTCCTTGCCATCCTGCACCGTTACATTACATGTACATACATACAAATTAGTCAAACCATAACTCTCGTACATACATATATATGGATACATAAATATATAGGTGTATGTACCTATAGTTGGATCAAGTCCTCTTAGTTGAAGCTCTCTGTATTCTTGACAAAGAGCGCATTGCTCGCAAAGAAAGTGGGTGATCCAGTCTGGTGCTGGCGACTCAGGCAGCCCAAACTTATTTCTCAACTTCGTCCTGTACGTGCATGAAAATATGCATGGCGAGTATATCACAGCCGCAATCAGTCCATACAGCAGCCCACTCGTTCCACACGCTGCCCAAAACACACCAAACACCACCTCCTAATTTAATCACATACATACTCTATATGCATATATATTTACACATATGTATATATAATGACTTACAAGTGGTTCCGTTGTCTACTATCTCAGCTATCTGGCCGAACGTCAAGCAGGGGAAGAAGAACGTTATCACAGCTGAAACATGCCAATTCAAGTACTCATAACTCACACACATATCCATATATATATATATATATATATATATATAGAGAGAGAGAGAGAGAGAGAGAGAGAGAGAGAAAGAGGATCTAGAACCAAAGAAAATCATTTCATGCAAATATATATGTATATAGCTTTAAGATCATCATAACTATATGTAATGAATATATACGCATACACACCATTCATCGGATCATCCATGCAATCGAAAAGCCCTGTTCTCCACCCCTCATAACCCACCTGCATGCCCTGTGGAACCGGACTCATCATCTTCGTCTGCATCATCACCGGCATCCCTTCTGCCACGCCACCACCCTGAACATATTGCTGCTTCTGTAACGACTGGGGACCTTGATTATAACTCGCCGGCTGGTTCGACCCATTTGGGAACATGGGATTATTGACTTGTGGGCTCTGAGGTGGGAATTGAACCGGTTTTTGTTGTGGGTTTGCGGGTGGGAACTGAACCGGCACTTGTTGTTGCGATGGTGGGTAGACAGCAGGATTCGGCTGGTTTAAACCGCCTTGATACATCGGACCGGCTTGTTGTTCTGGTGGTGTGTATTGAACCGGGTTCTGTTGTAGGTTTTGCGGTGGGTACTGAACCGGCCGGTTCAGTGATTGTTGCGGGTTCTGTGGTGGGTAAGCAACTGGCTGATTAGGCCTGTTATTGGGTTGGGTTGGAGGTGGGTATTGTACGGGCTGGAAAGGTTGATTAGCCCCGTATGCTTGATTGTTACCTTGTGGAGGTGGCGGCGGTGGGTATTGTGGCGGGGGCTGCGAGAATTGTTGTTGTTGTTGTTGTTGCATTTGTACTTCTTGATTTTGGTCCGGATAGTAATTAGACTGATATGTGAAGTTCTCGTGATTGGAAGTGGCTTCATGATCGGCTACTTGGTATTCTTGATGTATCTCATGATTACTCTCAATTTCTCCCTCTATTCGTCCCATTAAATTTTTGAAGTAATAACAAAATTAGAAAGAAGAGATACAAGAATTGAGAGAAAGAGAGACTGTTTGTGAGTGGTATTTAGTGCTGAATATATAGAGGAATGAAAGGGGAATACACCGCATAATAATGTACTTAAAGGTTTGTATATATACATATATATAATGGCAACTTGGTTTTGTGCATAAAATAGTTTTATACCAAAGACTGGGTTTGTTTGAACCAAAATGGAATCTAGCACTATTTAGGTACCAACTTGTCCAAAGAAAATATCATGGAAAAGAAACAAGAGAGTAAGAGAGAGATTGTGAACACTTAACAAAGAATTTGACTTTAATATGTTGATTTTGTGGAGATCATGATTGAACTAGCTACTACTTAGTTTTTGGGTATAAATATATATATATATATATACATACATACGTTATGTATATGTATATTCAGTGCCAGACAATCTTGGGTGGAACTTGGGTGAGAAGGGTTTACTTTGACTTAAAATTGGATTTAATAATTTTGCAGAAAATGACAAAAAGACGTGACTTATTTTCATCTCCTTTGCAAAAATCAATTTGGCAATTTGACCCCAAACCATGTCTGCAGCACAAAGAACGTAGCAGTCCCCCAATCATATGATTATATGCTACCTAATTAGTTAGAGATGCTTGAAAATTTTTGTTTGTAACCTTTTCACGATGCTAATTTATACATCTACAAATATATATTTGAGATTTTAGTATCACTATAATTTTTTAGAAAATATTAATTAAAAATAAATAAATAAATATGTATAATTAATTACACATTAATGCATCCTCGTTGATTTAATTTTTACTGCGGTCACAGGGACCTTTGCAATTTAAAAATAATTTATCCAACACTTTTAAACAAACAGAATATTTGGTAGGTTGAGAAGGGTAGTGTCATTAGTTAGCAATTTGGAAGGAAAAAAAAAAAAAAGTCAAAGTCAACTTATTAGTAAAATTGAACTTTACCCTTTTTAACTTTTTACCCGTCCGGACGAAGTTTTTCGAAACAATTTTTAAATTAGATACATTAACACACAATTATGTTGCATGCATCTCTTGATGATTACGTTTCTACGTAAATACATATTCCCATAATTTATTAGTATTCTTGTCTATTTATATAACTGGACCAATAAATTTTGAAAATTATAATTCTTTCATTTGTGTTTTGAATTAAATAATGTTGTTCTATCAATCAAGTAATAAAATATTAAATTCATAATACACGGGTAATGACTTTAAATAAAAGAAAATGATTCTAGATTGAAACTGAAAATAAAATGCTGGGACTAGGTCAAATATTAGAGTAAAAAAGCAATTGAATTTTGGGGTTAAACAATACTTTTTTTTATTTTTAATAAATTAAAATTAAATATTTGACTTTTAGTTCATATTGCTTTAAAAAAAAATTAAATAAAAACATAATTTAAAAAAAAAATTTGAAATTTGCAGTTACGTGCACATTATTCTCACGCGGACTGACTTATTCAGTCTATAATTTGTGCTGCCACTTGAACATTGCTGCATTCATATCATCATTCCCGGCAATTTTAATCGTTATCTCATGTACATACATATAATATATATCTCATATATATATATATATATATATATATACACACACGTATTTTTCTTCAATTTATTTTTAGATTATGTTTAAAATAATTAATTAATTAATTAATTTATAGAATCTATATAAATTGAAGTATCTAAAATTTTAAATTACATAATATCAGAAGCAAGATAGCCGAGAAGAAAAAAGAAAATTAGAAAATTTTGTTGTATTTATGTATGTGTATAATGGATTACATGCTCTGTTTATTTATAGCAGAGTTGTTAACAGATTACAAACTAACTTCAACTAATTGTAACTGATTACAAATTAATTAATAACTAATTCTATTATATAATACGTTTGTTATAAGTATGTATTTATATTTATTCTTAGAAATAATTCAAATTTTGTGTAAAATTCATTTATAATTTTATTCTTATAAATATTATATTTAAAAAACTATTCTTCGTAGACCTAATATGACACTCGGAATTAAATAGTGAAAAAATGAGAGTGCATGGTTGATTAATAGTGATACAATTAATCATTTTTTATGTTTTCCAAATTAAATCTCTCTCTCTCTCTATATATATATATATATATATATATTATATGATTGATTACCCATTACCAGATCCTAATGCGACATCGTTTCAAGGCCTTGGTTAAAATGAAAAGAAAAACAAATATATATATATATATATATATGAATTTATGAGTAAAACTCTCACGGGAGAGAGTAAATTATGTTTAATTATAAGAAAATATAATTATTTTCTATAAACAACATGAGATAATTAATAAATCAATTTCATTATTTAAAATGATATAATACTAATAAAATAATAATAATAATGAACTTGAGCCCAAATAGTCATTTGGGCCCAAACAAGGCCTTGGCCCAGCCCATGTTGCAGGCTTGCTAAAGGCTCAAAAAGCCTTCTAATGGTAATATTTAACCGGAACCAAAAACGACCGGTGGCGGTGATCCAACTCGGTGCTCTATAAGATCTGTGTACGACGATCGGAAAATCCTTACGCCGGAGAAAATGATCTCCTGATTGGCGCCTTGAATCTCACATATTCGTTAAACAATTTCCAGAGACTGCCAACAATACCTATCAATTTCCTCAGATTTCAAGATCCGAATTCCTGAAAAATGGAGTCTCCGCAAGGTGGTGGATCCGATAGAGACAAATCCACTTCTTCCTCTTCTCCCGTCTCTGTTGTCTCCAATTTTTGGAAAGGTAACATCATTATGTACAATTTTGTATGTAAATGTACTTCGTTTTTTCTGAGCTTGGCGACAATTGTTGAAGTGCTTGTAGTCGGACGAATTGCATTCAGATGTCATCACTAGATAGTGGGGTATCTTATCAGGAACATGAAGTTATTTATGGATTTGATTATGTTTACTAAGCGGATACAGTTGGTTACTTGGTTTGATTCGGTACTGCAGCCAAGAGAATGGTTTAAGCTTTTCAATAGGCTGTTAGTTTCGCGCATGGTTATTTGTACTGTACTTCTCTTCTTAATAATCATCATGGAGAAATGCTTATATGTTTTGTGCGTAATGTAACATTATTCTTCAAGAAGCCATTTTCTGCTCTAGGAGCTGGACTGTTTAATAATTTTTTATAATCAGTTCTCTTTAATTGGTTCTATGCAAATGTGTGGAGCAACTTTTTCTTTTTGAAGTATTTGCTGATCAGATTGTTTGCTTTTTTCTTTTTTCTTTTTTTTCCTTTTTTCCAGAATTTGAATTGGAAAAGGAAAAAAGTGTGCTCGATGAACAAGGGCTTAGGATAGCTGAAAATCAGGAGAACAGCCAGAAAAACAGGCGGAAGCTTGCTGAGAGTACAAGAGGTATTTTAATGTAGTTGAGCTATATTAGAGTTGAAGTTCCCATCAAAGGACAAGAGTGAAATCTACCTTTTATATTAGGATACCAGAAAATCTTCTCAACAGAAAATGTCTAATTCTGAATGTCCAAGAGGGTTCTAACTCTCAAAAAAAAGAAAAAAAAAAAAAGAAAGAGCAAATGAGTTAATTGTTGTCTTCTCTATGAACAGACTTCAAGAAAGCTTCGCCAGAGGAAAAGTTGAGTTTGTTTAATTCTTTACTCAAGGGTTATCAAGAAGAAGTTGATAATCTGACAAAGAGAGCAAAGTTTGGAGAGAATGCTTTCCTTAACATCTATCAAAAACTTTATGAGGCTCCAGATCCTTATCCTGCTCTTGCTTCAATTTCTGTAAGTGTCAGTTTAATTCATTTGGCATTTCATTAGGCAATGGTCCTGCTAAACTATGAACTGCGAGACTTCTTCTTTTGTATCCATTGATTGGATTGACTTCTATAGTGTTGAGACTTGGATACTTTAAGGACTTTGTCAATGTGTAATTGTATGTATATATATTTGCAGTTATCCATATATGTATTATGGAGGCACGTTACTAAAAGTCTGATAGCCATAAGTGTTTGCTAATTGCTCTCTTATTTAGCTAATATATGGAACCTTGTTGATGGCAGTTTTTGCCCTTTGACATTGTAACGTCTTCCATTTTCTTTTTCTTCTTCTTCTTCTTTTTCTTTTAATCCTGTTCATCTTCTTACCCGTCCTTCATTATCCTAGATAGTTCCAGAACTTCCTATTTTCATTTTTGTACTTAGTTATCAGTGCAAGTTGATGAGCTTACTAGTGGGAAGAATTGAGGATATTGCTGGCCAGTCCTCCACTGTGTTTATGTATTTGGAGTTCTTGTGCCTCTTTCAGCGTGAGCGTGTCAATAAACAGTGACCATCTCCTGTGTGCATGTCAATAAACAGTTAGCTCATAGTTATACCTGCATTGCAGGAGCAAGATCTGAAATTATCTGAACTAGAATCCGAGAACCGGAAAATGAAAGTTGAGCTTGAAGAGTTCAGGACTGAAGCAACTCACCTGAAAAATCAGCAGGCGACAATAAGAAGACTCGAAGAACGCAACCGACAGTTAGAGCAACAGGTTAGTGATGCTTTCTCCATTGATATTTTTGCTAGAAATTTAAACCCAGAGTGAGTCAGATTTTTGGAAGTAAAAGAAGTACACTCTCTTTTATTTGGTTCAAATATAGAACACAAATTCGTTATAAGGAACCACAAAGAATGTCTCAGCTCATTTTCTGAAGGTGGGAATGATGATTGTTTATCCATGAATATGCATTCAGATGGAGGAAAAAATAAAAGAAGTTGTGGAGATCAAGCAACGCAGTCTGGCTGAGGAGAATCAGAAAACACTTGAGGTTTTGAAAGAGAGGTATAACCATTGACAGGGTGTTGAAAGGTTTTTTAATACATTATTCACCTTTTCCCCTTTCTTATTTGGAGTTCATTATGATTGTCAGTCACATATAGGAATCTTTTAGCAAAGCATTAGTTCTTCTGAACCATGGATTTTGCTAGTAGGCTGTATATTTTGTGTTTTCTTGCCTTGTCATAGACCATTTGTTGACTTAGTTGTTTCATGTAGGGAACAATCACTGCAGGATCAGTTACGGCAAGCTCAAGAAAGTGTCTCCAATATGCAAAAGTTACATGAACTTGCACAAAGCCAATTGTTTGAAGTCCATGCTCAATCAGGTGATATGGTGAACTAGAAAGGCAAATTTAGTTCATACTTGGTCACTTGAAGAGAGTACAAATTTAGATCTTGTTGAAAGAGATACTTTTTTGAACCTTCATTCTTTTCTCATCATAGCTTGCCTTCTTAAATTTCTTTTGATTATTTGCTGAAGCGAGTGTCTTACTTGTTGCATAACAATATCAGAGGAAGAAAGGGCAGCTAAGCAATCAGAGGTCAATCTTCTGATGGATGAAGTGGAACGAGCTCAAACACGGCTTCTTAGTCTTGAGAGAGAAAAGGTGATTTCTAAATTATGTTTTTAGACTGGCTAGATTAACCTTGAATAAATGAATCCCTTAGGTCAAAAACATTTTCAGTTTACATGATCACTTTTCTACTTGGACATTGAGTTATGATTATCATTTTTCTCTCTTGCTAATTCTTCTCTATATTGAAAGCTTGATACTAGGTTTAGATAGTATATAATATATGATACATGACATTAGGAGCTCCAATTCTACTTGTAAGGTTGGACTAGTTATTCTTGAATGCAGCTTTTCTGTTTTGTTACACTTGGATGGTAACTGAAATGGAATGGCATCAAATGGTTTCGTTGGTCCTTAATTCAAATATCACCCATTCAAAATAAAAGGAATTAGAAAAACAAAAAGGAACAAAGAGCTTCACGATTTATGTTTGCGTCCCCAATAGTGAAATTATTGAGCATGATAGTACAATTCTAGAGTTTTTTTAAGGAACTTGGTGACACTGTATAAGATTTAGTCTAATTCTTTGTATATGTGGACATCTCCACAGAGTGAAGTATGAACAATTCTGGTTTTATGCAATGCGATCGTACAGTTGAAATGTTCTAATTTCTCATTGCTTGTGCAGGGAGTTTTACGGTCCCAATTACAATCAGCAAATGAAGAGACTGAAAACAAGAAAAGGTACGGTATCATGGTCCAATCTGCAATTTATTTTTACTAAAATGAAAGTTGCATCTAGAGGATTTTTTTTTTCTGCCCAACGCAATCCCCTGTACAAGATTGGTCTAGACGTTAATATGATAATATGTTGTTTACCAACTGATGTTTTTGCTTTATTTATCTTTCTGTGTTTTTGCAGTATTTCGTCTTTTGGGTTTTAGTTTTCCTTTTTTTCTAATGATTCCTTTTCCGACAGAGATAATGTTGATTCTAATAGTATCCTTGAGAATTCTTTGAATGCCAAAGAGAAGGTTATCTCTGAGCTGAATATGGAACTTCACAATATTGAAACCACCTTGGCAAATGAACGAGAGCAACATGTGATTGAGATCAAGAGATTGAATTCATTGCTTAATGAAAAGGTACAATACTTTGCTATTTAGGTGCTTTTGAAAGCTGAATTATGATACTTGTCCAGGTATAGCTTCAATATATTTAGTCTTTGCTTTTATTCTTATGGAGATATTATTTTAGCTATTTGATACTCATTTTCGTTTCCAATAGAAAAAATCTCCATTCACAAGGCACCAAGAGATTGTCACCCATGTATAAAAAACCTTTGAAGAAAAAACTTGGTGTCTAAAACAAAAAATCTAATTCTATTGAAAGGAGGCAAATCCTTGAAAACTCTTCTATATGTCTCTCCAAATAACCGGAAAAGTTAGTCTTTTG